GGAGACCAACTTGTCTCTATTTATCTCTATCTTAACAGATGAGTAACATGGATTTTGTATTGAGGAGGTTTTTTAAAAACAGCACTGAAACCACATCAAATTTGGATTTTTTATTATAATCTTGTTGTATATCAGTTATAGACTTGATGCTTTATCAGATCAGACTTATTATGTGCAGAACAACAGCAATGTAGTGTTATATTCAAGTGAAAACATTTAAACTCAAGTTTATAACTCAAGTTCAACAATGTACCTGTTTTACCACCTAGCTTTTAGGTAAAGAAGATATTTATTTTTTTTCATACCTTTGTTGAATTTTATAATTGAAAGGAGCAGAAGGAAGATATATTCGTGTTACCAAGTTCTTGATAGCTTTGCAAATGACTGCTATCAAATTAACAACAGACAACTTTCTTTGTTTTTATTTTGTGTTATATGATAAATACTAATCAGTACACAGTTGCATGACAACAGTCACCAGTAATTTTACTACTGCACTACCATTACTACTACTACTACTAAAATTTTACTGCACAGCATAACTTAGCTGCTGTCTTTCAACAGCAGCTAAGTTAAAAAGGCTATTTTTTTTCATCACTGTCCCATTTTTTTGTGACTTGTGACTTGATTAGAGTTTCAACAGTCTGATGGCAGTGGGGAAGAAGCTGTTACAGAACCTGCTGGCCCTGCAGTAGATGCTGCAAAGCCACTTCTCAGAAGGCAGCAGGGAGAACAGTCCAGGGTCCAATTTAAATTTTTTTTTAAAGTTTTTTGATTAAAAAAAGCTTTTACCATATATAGTGATACCATGTATAGTGGAAAAAGAATTTGGCCCAGGAACTGATCCTTGGAGCACACCATAGGAGACAGGACGGCTCTGTGAGCTGGAATACTCAATTGGGACAAAATCTAATGTGTTGGTCTTCTGTATCGAAGGCGGCTCATAAATTGAAAAGGAGGAGAAGTAACGGAGAGCCACATGCGACAATCATCAACAGGTCATTTGTGATGCCGACCTAAGCTGTTTTAGTGCAATGGGCAGAACGGAAACCAGATTAACGATTGTCCAAAAGGCTGTGGTCATGGAGGTGCATTGAATATAAAATTATTTCTCAACAACCTTAGAAATTAAAGGAAAGATTGAAATAGGTCTGTAGTTTGCTATGCCCTAGGCACCCAGGGTATGTTTTTTTTTTCATGAGTTTGATTATGGCAGATTTCAAAGTTAGGGTAATATGAATGGATTGAAGAGATTTATACAGAATTGGAGGAAATTATGCCCCAAAAAGATTTCAGGTTGTTTAATTGGCTTGTGTTATTTGGGCTGTTAGAACCCTGAGTATTGAGTTTGAATCGTTCTCTCAGTCCTGCCCTGCTACAGCATAGCTGCTGTTTTCCAGTTTAGTGAACTGCATTATTTCTTCCCTCAAAATATGACGACAATTGTTGATCTGTAGAGAGAACGCTGAGAATAAAAACAGTGAGTCAGAGCCGCATTCTGCACAACGAGCAGGTGCAGAAGTGTACAATCCGGCTCAGTGCTACTGTCTGTGTGTGGGTTTAGGGCGTTCAGAGTGTGCTTTTATTGTGTGTCTATTCTCTCCTGCTATAGCTGTAGAGTGGGTCTTTTTATGCAAGTGTCATGTTCCTTCCTGTCTGTGAAGTGAGTACGGTAAAGGAGGGAAGATATGGAATCTAACAGAAAAGAACTGCCTTTTATGTAAAACACACACAGAAAAACACACAACACCTCTGACTGGAATGGGCAGCTGGTCTGTTGGCGGGAAAAAGACTGCAGACCAGCTGTCACATGGTAGAGGCAGAAGGGCGCGAAAAATGAGGAGCTCACATACAGCACCAGGGGAAAAAAAGGAACTATAAAGAGAGGCTGACAAATCCACTGACTGAATTACAAAGAAAAAAGAAAAATCAAGGAGGCATGAAACTAAAATGTAAAGTTGTTATAATGAGAGGAAAAAGCCAATGGGGGTAATTTTTATTGAAACTGTTTTAAGCCTTTTTTTAAAAAAAAAAAAGCTGTTGACATTGACTTTAAGATTAAAAACAAAAACCTTTTAATCGCAGTTAATGACTTTTTTCAGTGTCTCTATAAACAAAAAATAAGATCATGTTTATAAAATCAAGTTGTAGTTCCCAAGGCCTGTTTCTGCTTCAATTTGTAATCTCTTTAAAACTTTTGAAAACCTAAAAGTCTACATATAGTAGCGATGAAAATTATTCTCCCCTTACCATTGTATTTCTGTTTTTTTTTTTTTTTGTCTCATTTCAATTATTCAGAGCATTAGATTAAATGTAGTTTACTATATTTATCAGCAATCCCACTAAGTATATGATATTGAACAAGTTAATGCTCCTAAAGGTTGGAGCAATAGTGTCTCAGATAAATGAGTTATCTTACAGGAGTGTAATTTTTTCTTCAAGATTTTATTGTTGTGATGAAATCATAAAGACATTTTACAGAAACGTTCAGCAGCTTACTCTACATACATAATATAAAGTCAGAAAATATGTAATATTTTTTCATACCTCTTTTTTTGCATTTGATGCAAAACTTAAAATTATTTATGATTAAAACCAGTACTTTAAAGGACAACAATAAACTTATCAGATTGACCTCTTTAATTGTCCCAGGCTTTAATTGTTACAATTTAGTGCACAATATGTGCAATCCTGCTTTAATGCAGGAATTAATATGCAAAATATCAGGTAAGTAAGTAATTGCTGTGACCCACCTCCAGCCGTGGCTATGCTCTGATGCAGCATTCATGCTGCAATTTTTGGGGTAAAAAAGAAAAACATTGATCATTGGCTGCCTCAGCTTAACAAAACAGCTGTTTGGGAATCCTTTCAAACCTTAAAACTCCACACCTACCTTTTATCTTTGCCTTCTGTAGCATTTGTTCACCTGCCTGCAAGCACTCAGAGTGACTCTTAATAACGGAATCTGAAAGGTGTAGGGCTCACATCTTCATAATGCTCTATTCACCTACATGTGCAAATAAGAAGGTAAAACTGTTTAACAACACAATTTTTCACAATCATTACTTTCAACTAAAATTCAGCTCATTGACCTGATTTCAGTTTAATTTTGACAGCTTTCAGTATAAACAGCAGTTGTGCTGTAATGTACTGGACAGAACCTTAAGAAGGGAGCCTATGTCAGACAAAGGGCCAACATGATCCTAAAATGTTAGAGTACCAGCCAAAATTTTAGCATAGAGGTGACAAATTCCAGCAGAACTAAACTGATAGGCCATACAAGATTCCCTGAACTAGAGAACAAACCAAGAATCCCGCAGCAACTGTGTAGGAGCCACAGATATTCACAGCTCAAGTTAAGAATCTATCGACAGGGTTGAAGGTGTAGCACACATGCAGGAGAAGCTGCACCGATCACATGAAACCAAAACTGAACTTGGTGTCCTACGTACAAAAATGTGAATTGTGAAAAAAAACCTATAGTTTTCACCCGAAAAAGCTAAGATAAGAACCTGCTCTCATTTTAGTTGAGTACTGAAACTTTTGTAAGTAAAGTGCATCTAATTTCAATTGCTATAAATCACCAGGAGAACATTAGGTAAAGTTTAATGTTCTACTGATGATTTATAGCAATCTCCAGTAGAACATTAGACTTGACTTAAACATTTTCAGGACAGAAAGGCCTCAGGACGGGATTGGACGAACACATTTCGAACATCGCACTGCTTATTTGATTCAAAATGGTCTTGTTTTGAAAGTTACAGCAGAGCAATAACTTCCTCGCACTTGTGCATGACAATGGCTAAAATCTTTGTGCACATTTTTTTTAGAAACTATAATGTTTGAATATTTTCCTTTCAACAAAAAGGCAGGATTCACACACCTGTTTATGCTATTTATGCTAAGTGTGTTATATTTTGCCTTCAATCAGCTTTGGTGACTCTGGTTATCTATGTTCACACAGGCCTTAAGGCCATTGATTTACATCCTTTGAATAGTTAAAAACTGGGAAAATGGTCATGAAAATGTTGAAAAGTTTTGAAATTTTTTGCATTTTGTGTAGAATTTTTTTTTAGCGTTGAGAAACTGTGAACATTTTGATTTTATGGATTTTTAAGTATTTTTGATCAGATTCCTGCTTTTTATTAACACATTTTTTTCTATATTAGAGTGTGAGCTCTGAAACATGTAGAGATGGAGAGACATCTAAACACATATGCATGCAGGAGCCAGGGATCATGGTAAAATAAGGATGAATAGTGAAAAGCAGCTATTTATCTGAGCTCGCTCAGGCCTCCTGGGACCTTCACTGAGGGAGAACAATAACCGGTTTAACTTCATCCACTGACCTGCTCACAAACACAAACAGACTCACACACTCCTCGTTCTGTTTGAGATGGTCAGCCGCACAAACACAGCTGTTAGCAAACACACACATTCATTATACCCAACAAGATTCACTCCTTTAACCTCAGAACAAACTCCTATATTTTTGTTTTGCGCTCACTCAAAGAGGCAAGTCAAGAGTCCATCCAAAAAAACTGATATGTGTGAGAGTATGAACAATTTTTTTTTTTTTTTTTTTTTTCATGATAAAGAGTGCATGCTTTGAGCAATATATATGTAGGTGCTTTAAAGTGGCTGATTTGGATTTTTTTTATTACTGTTTTTTATTCCATATTATATATGGATATATATTATATATATGCAGGTCAGAACAAAAGACAGCTAAATACGTAAAACAGCATTTAAATGACTGCTTGTTTTCCTATAATGGTGTAGCCCAGACATTGGAGCAGGAAACCAAGCACAGTCAGGAATGTATGGAAGATTGAAGGATTTGTTGATATCTCCCCAAAAAAAACAGCTGGACATGGAGCATGGGCCGGAAAAGAGCCGTAACAGGTGGAAGTATGAGCACTGAAGATCAAAAAGTGTTTATATGTTGAGGCAGGTTTGAGGACTGACAAAGAATGGCAGTGTGTTGATCAGGAGAAAACATGGAGCAGCTGAGTCAGGACGTAAAGAGAGTGAGCTGAGGGAGGAAGACTAATTAAAGCAGGAGTTCAACTTAAACCCAAAGAAACACAACTAACCTCAGGGAAAAATATTAGAAAACAGAAAACTATAACATATATGAACAAATACTGAAAACATTAACACTTCATAAGGCATTCGGTGAAGAGAGTCATTGGAGGACAGACCCAGACCTTATTACTTCTGTGACATTTTAAAGAAAATAGTTATTTTCATGGCAAACATCAGGGTAAATGTAATTACAAAAAAACATTTGCTTCCCTTAATATGGAAAAATGTGTGCTTCTGTAAGAAATTCACGACAAACATAGACTGAAAGAATAATGTTTTATTTGTTACAACATAACCCTCAAGACATCAATGCTGATACAGGTTATAACTTTTGAATAATCTTTTTAACTTTTTTGCTCAGCTTATTGTGTCAACCTTTTTTTATTATATTATACAAAGCTGTGAACATTAGATTACTGATATTCTATGAAGCAGGTACACTCAGTTACACCTTGCAGACCCTGCAGACCACACCTGACCTCATAGTTTTTCTTGGTTTGCTGCAAAGTGGTTAAGATAAAAGGACTAAGACGAAAGAAAACCAAATCACCTGCAGATGGTGATGACTCTTATTTTGTTCACTTTTGATAGATTTACTAAAGTCTTAAAGTCATAAGTTTCAGTTTTTAGTTTCAGGAAAAGTATCGTAAAAGTGGATTTTTTTTTCATACTGACTGTTTTCTGCTATATTAGCTAATATGCAAATGTCATTATAACCCCTTTTCTCTTTTTTTTTTGTATTCTTCTTATCCGTCTTTGCTTGTTTAGCTCCTCTTTAAAGTTTCATTTTGTTTCTGCTTCTGCGTTCCCAGCCATTCCTCTTGCTTTCTAACCTCATCTCTTTGTTTTGATGCCTTCTTTTGCTCTTCTTTCCCTCGGTCCCTTCCCCCAGTTTTCCCACCTCTGTGCTTCATCGCGATCGGCTCGTCCTAGCAACTGCTATCGCCGCCGTCTCTGTCCCGGCAACGGGTCGTCGTCAGGGCTGCTGACCTCTGACCCCACACAGCTGCTCAGCCATCGTGTGTCCCCTCATTCCCAGTCCTCTGCTCCCTGCTTGTTCCCGTGACCAGGAGGGTCACACATGGGAGCCAGCGCTGAATTCAAGGAAATCTCTTTCAGTTTTTCCCCCGGCCCAAAAGATATAGGAGAGCATAGAAAAAGTAAAGGGAGGAGAGATGACCTAGTAAAAACAATAGGGAATGGAGAGAATGAGGCAAATAAGAAAAATAAATGAAAGCTCAAGAATATAGAAAATAAATGTTTAAAATGAAAAAAATAAAAAAAAACATTCAATTTTATGGACAAAAATTAAATGCAATATATAACAAAGAGGGAAGGACTCAGTTTATGTGAATCTTTTCAGGTAGTTATCCTTTGACTCATGAATTGCCTCTGCATGTTATTTTTTATTTCCGGGAACTTTTATGACATCATGCTGTTTGTAAACGGTTGGTAAAGATGAGGTACTCATTTGACCACACTGCCACTATATTTTGTTATTAACAGTGTCGTGCAGTTAGATGAAATATATAGAAGTGTTAATATATGTAGATAGTTACTTACACCATATAGTTGTATTTGGTCACATTCTGGTTGTCTGACACATAATCCGGCAGATGAATTGATCATTTTAACGGTATAGTTGTAATCAGATGGATAATCTAGCTGTCATACAATTAATTTGACTTATAATCTGGTTTACTGGTAATCTGAAATTAATTGTGATTTACTTACTAATTTACTGCTAATCCTATTGGTAATCTGAGTTGTTGTTTACTGGTAATTTAATTGTGTGGTGCCCCTAAATGTAATGTTATTATTACAATATTATAAAAGTAATTATTTCATAAAAGACAGTAAGGCTATTTTAAAAGGGCAGCCTGCTTATGACAGAATTTCTGCTTCCAATATTTTTAGGTAACCAACATAGGTGTCTGAACTATATATTTTTTTCTTCTTTTTATGTCCCTAATGTTTACAGTAACAAACAGGGTTAATATCTTTTTAAAAATGTTCTGTTTACTGTTTTTTCAGATGGATAAACCTTTTCTCATAAGGAGGCATAATTTTTTGCAAAAAAAAACGACATTAACCATGACAGAGTCCCATCATCCTGTGTACCCTGGAGTGAATAAAAATACATTGCCAAACCAAAATTTCAGGTTTTGTTCAAAAATCAATCACTCAGGGCCTGCTTCTTGTCAATATTATACATATGGATCATTTTACCTTGCAGCAGATCAAAGCATATTTGAAAACTTGACCTTATTATAGAAATAAAAAGATAAAACCTGCATCCTATGAATGGAGCTACTAAAACATCTGCTGTAATCAATAAGAACTGGTAAAGGAGCTACATGTCTTCCTCTTTCTTGAATAAGCTTTCTCCTGCTTTTCTGTTTGTGAGCTGCAATTGCTCGGGCCGTGTATGCTGTCACTCTGTGCATCAGGATTACAACTGGGCTTCATATGAAATAGTTCCAAAGAAGCTTAATTTACTAAATATTTTAACCAGTTAGATTGCTATATTTTGGTTTCAGAACAATATAAAATGAGGAGGACAAGTTGAGCTGTGTCCTGGATCCAGGTGCTGTTCTCAGTGTAACCTGAGCAGAACTTTATTAATAAATAATGAGGCAGTCAGCTCATAAGTCAGACACAGAGAGCTTTTTTTCTGCTAGTTGTCCTGTGAAGAAAGCACCAATACTTAAACAAACCGGCCACTGGAAAAATATTTTCAGGCACTGTCTGGCCTTCTGTTCGTTTAGGATTTAGTTTGAAGATTGTGCTTTGTTGCTTTTGTTGGGTTTTTTTTTTGTTGTTTTTTTTTTAATCTAGGCCTGTGAGGAACCTAACCAATCATGAATCCTGAATAGTAAGTTTCTTTTCTAATGCGGTGTGCTGCTTTTTAAATATTCAGTTGCTGCCATTGATTGAAGAAACATCAAAAACAGCAGATGTAGAAAAAGATAAATAGATATACATATTTGCTTCTTGTCTTTTTACTTTGATATTAATCTTTAAACACAATCAGGTCTACACAGATAACATTTAATAAAATATTACTTAAGGAGTCTTTAGGTGCTTTAGATAATTTAGCATTATTCATTAATGCAAACGTCAATGTGGCATTAAGTTAATCGTCGGATCACCAAACTCCTGTGACACATGGTTGTTGTAGTCTTTGAATTATTTCAACAAATATAAAGCAGAAATAACCCAAAGTTTATGCTATTTCACAAACCTTGTGATATTGCTTCATTTGAGAACAAATTCAGCTAAGAACTCACAAAATCTTTCAGAAGTATTAATTCCTAGTCATTTATTTCCATATTTCTTAACTTAAAAACCTCAAACTTCAATGTTTTTGGGGTTTATTTAAAAGTCAAGTATCAGATAATTGTAAAACGGTTAGTAAACCTTTGTATGGTTTTTGACATTTTACATAAAAGTCTAAAAAGATGTTATTAAGCACCTGAGTGAATGCTGTGTACAGCCTTATTTTGCTCTCCAGTCTGATGTGTCTTCACCAACTGTTAACATCAGAATAATTAACTCATTTGTCTATTTTCCTTTGCAAAAGAGCTTTAGGAACATTCCATTCATTTTTATCCCCTGCTACATATTTTCACTGTATTTTGTGTGTACTGTGACAGGGCTGTTCTGTTACAGAAATATATTTCCACCAAATAAACTATATTTCAGGTCCTGCTGGAAAGTGATTATTCATTCCAGTTTTCAGTTACAGGGTAATATACAAGACAAAAAGGAAGAAAAAAGCTTGGAAAGACATTAATAAACTCACCAACAGCTAGTCCTGTAAACTTTTCCTCAAGGATCTTCTCATACAGAATTCATGGTGGTTATCTACAGTAGATCTTCCCCAAATCATGATCATTCAACCAAAGTTTAAAGGAGGCTTATTTTCCTGGATTGTGGCGAGTGAGGTCTTAGCTTATCCTTTCTGTGGCCAACTGTAGTTTGATCCTCATGCAAAACAGACAGAGCAAAAGTTTCCTCATTGCAAACCTTACTGATTAAATCTGTGTGTTGTTTGTTTATGGATGGATGGATGGATGGATGGATGGATGGATGGATGGATGGATGGATGGATGGATGGATGGATGGATGGATGGATGGATGGATGGATG